CCCACACACACGGGCTGATGGGAATGGGCTGGACCTGTTTGCGTACCTGTTTGCTCAGGTTTGCAGGAGTAAACTGGTTAAGGATGGGCTGCAAACCCGAAGAATCAGACACTGTTTTGTAATCCAGCTGATATTCCATGAATACGGTGATTGGAGTAAGCTTGTCTCTAAATTCCGATTCATCCTATAAGGAAATAAAGCCAAGATTTTTTAAATTGCAATGTATTGCAAAAATACAATAGCGCTCTTATCAGACATGCAAAATCCACCTAGTGTGTCCCACCTAGTGTGTCCCAACATTGTATGTAATGATATTGTTGTCCCAACCTGAAACCTATACATAGAGTGCCAACATCTAGAGGAGAGCCAAAAATACAATAGCGCTCTTATCAGACATGCAAAATCCTAATTGTATACGTGACTGGAGCCACCTAGTGTGTCCCAACGTTGTATGCAATGATATTGTTGTCTCAACCTGAAACCTGTACACAGAGTGCCAACATCTAGAGGAGAGTATTTCTTCCATGTCCATGGACAATGGTCTCCACATGAGTCAGAGGCTCGTGCTGTTAGGATGATAGCGCTCTTATCAGACATGCAAAATCCTAATTGTATACGTGACTGGAGCCACCTAGTGTGTCCCAACGTTGTATGCAATGATATTGTTGTCTCAACCTGAAACCTGTACACAGAGTGCCAACATCTAGAGGAGAGTATTTCTTCCATGTCCATGGACAATGGTCTCCACATGAGTCAGAGGCTCGTGCTGTTAGGATGGAAGCACCATCAGCAGCAGCCAGAGTTAGTAATTTTAAGAAGAAGAAAAAACGAGGCATGCCACTGGAAAAGAGGTGGCAATGCCTCAAACTCTAGCACAGAATCAAATGCTGCGATTCAATGAAGAGAGCAAACTCTCCACACCCCTCTTTCTATATGACATCTAGTTTTCTTTGGCCTATGTAATAAAAATAAAACTGCAATAAAACAGTTCCAAGTGTGACTGGGAGAAGAGAGGATACATTTTTTGAAAAAATTGGGAGAAACCAGACAGTGCAAATACTACTATTTATTTATTTTATATGCCACCCACACTACCCAAAGGTCTCTGGGCAGCTTACAACATTTAAAATACAATAAAAATTCAGAACAATTAAAATGCAATTAAAATATATATAGAATTGCCATTGGACCCACAGGTAATATTATTTCAATTAAAAGCCTTCTGGAACTGGAAATGTCATCAGTGTCGGCGCCAGACAAATCTCAGTCTAAAGGCATAATCAGTTCAAAATTATAGGCTCTCTGGGCCAAACTCAAAGCCAGCATTCTGTCCCAAGCCAGTGAAAAATGATTGTTTTTATGCCATGAGATTGTAAGAAAATGAGAACTCCAACCAATCAGGTTGAACTGCTTCCACCTGTATGGATATGGTACATTTACAGCTGGCCCCCAAGCAACAGCCATCGTATTTAAGATACACATAGAGAAAACTTCTCCAGGATAAAAGTGGGCCAAAACCCGCCAGTCAGCCTTACATTGTTAGTCTCCGATTCTGGTCATGGCAAGAGGTCGATTCTCCGGCTGTAAGTCAAATCTAAATTTTGCAGCCAGAGAAGTCTGTAACTCGAAAAGTCTGTAAGTCGAGCCGTCTGTAAGTCGAGGGTCCACTGGTACACACAGAAAAAACTTCTCCAGGATAAAAGTGGGCCAAAACCCGCCAGTCAGCCTTACGTTGTCTTTCTCTGATTCCAGATATGGCAAAGATCAAACCTATTCCTACAAAGTACATGGGTGGTGGGCTGTAATTGTGTGTTTATTCTTACCCTTAAAAAAGCCTGAAGTTCTTCACAGCTCATTCGACCCCCTCTCGGGACAGTCATGTTTTTAGAGTGAGCAGGTTGCCTGCTGTGGAGAAAGAGGGCTCTCCTGATGGCCCCTTTCTGCTTCAGTTTGTCCAACAGCAGCTCCACGTGGAAAGCTGTCACCAAAACATAAAGAAGCATTTCGGTGAGGCAACCTTTTGATTCAGCATCGGCCAGCAGAAGTGGCAGCTGCAGTGACCAACGTCACAGGTGGCGCCAACTGAACCACAGACAAAGGGGATCCATTACCCTGACTGGAGGGAGATTAGGATTTGCAGTGAGTGCTGGGACAGGTTAGGGTCTGTGGCTTCACTTAGCGACAAAGGACTCTCACTGCAAAGTGCCACTACGAAGGTCAAATGTCAAGACTCCCACTCAGTTTTCGCAAAGTGCCACTACGAAGGTCAAATGTCCAGACTCCCACTCAGTTTTCCCAGCTACTGAGCAGCTGTGCCACCAACACATGTCAAGACTCCAGCTGCTCTCTGCTTCCACCTCACATCTCCACACTCTACTTTCTCTCTAGATCACATAAACCCTTCATCATTCATCTCACGTCTTCCAGTGTATCTGCTGCTCACTGGAGATGGCCCCGTCCCGCTTCTAACCACTAAGTACACCATTCCTCTGGTCACCATTATCAGAAGCTCCCTGAGCTACCTAGAGCAGGGGTCCCCAACCCCTGGTCTGCAGCCCAATACCGGTCTGTGGCCTGGGCAGGGCCACGGAGAGAGTTCTCCCACCCATCCCCGCATGCACTCCCCTGAAGAGATTTTTTTGGGGGGGAGCCAGTTTTCTGCACTTGGAAGCTCCCCCCCCCTTTTCATCATTTCTGCTCCTTCAGAGGAGCTCCTTTAAGAGAGCCACCAGTGGGTCCTGGGAGTTAAAGGACTGCAACTTGACCTTCCAAATTTGTCCACTCCTTCCCTATGTGTTAGCCACTGTAACCATTCTCTTCAGGTTCACTCTTAGGCCTTGCTCTCTCACAAATGGGGGTACAAGCCTTCATGTACAAAGGTACCTTTTTCGCTAACATTTAATTAGGCACAGCCTGAGGCAACCTGTTTATCATGCAGCCCAGTTTGCCACTTTAATTGGTTCTTTGCGGAAACATGGCTTCAGGCAACAAAGAGGCTGTGTAAAAATACGCCCCCGTCTGCAGACTCTGTAGCAGCTACAACTGGCAGCTACATATTAACTTGCTTGGTCTTCTGTGAAAATTTCACAGAGCCTCACCCAATTGTAACTCGCCCAATTTTGCCAATCAGTAACTCATGACTGGAATTATTAGCCCATCTTTGGCTTTTATATTACTCACAGAATCAATTACTGACACCTTCAAGTACAGCCAGACGTTGTTTTCTGGCATTCTCTATAATACAAAGGAGATTCTTCTGGTCAACAGAGCAGCACAAAGCTATCTTCCACACTCTGAGCACTGCTTTGGGGTGGTATCTCAGCCAGAAGACTGAAAAAATCTGTGCATGCTTGAGACGGGTGAGGCCTTGACCGACAATAACAAGGGTGGGGGTGGGGGACAACTGCATTGTAATGGCTTCAAGATCTGCTGATCCAATGACCAAATCTTAACTGAATAGTAACTAAGTCTACACGGGTATAGCTCAGTGGGTTGCGATATCAAAGCTGGGGAATTCAGATCCTCACTGGGTCTCCCACGAGAGGGGCCAGCTGAAATCTCCCAGAGAGTCTTATGTGCCCTGCCCTCTGCGAAGCCTTGGAAACGCTGCCTGGTCTCAGAGTGACACCAGAAGGAAGAACTACTAGTAAGCCATTTCTGAGTTCTACCTTGAAAGTCCAACTTGGACCACTATAAGTGGATGTCATGTAACTAACATAATTATGAAGTATATCTGCAGAACTTACTGAGGTCCCTGGGGAGACTTCCTTTGCCGTCAACTTTTAAGCAGAACTTGACAATAAAACTGTTGAGACAGAAAGAAAGATGGGTTAAAACGCAACCCACTTCAGTGCAGAGGCAGAGCATGCTGTAACTACCAAAAAATAAGTGCAGAACGGGCTTGTTGCTGTTAAAAATGCAGCAACATCTTCTTACCTCTGAGACTTCACAGCTAAGCTATTCTGCAAAATCCCGTGGCATGAACAGAGTCAAGTGTCGCTGGTTTTAAGGACCCTTTCCAAATAATTTATGTTCCTTCCTTCAATTCTGTTCCTAAATATATTCTCTTAAAATATGAATGAACTGAATGCAGCACTTTTCTTATAGTCACACTTGTAAAGAAAAAACCCCTAAAATTTCCATTACACTTCAAGGAGTCCCAAACTACGTTGGGCATTTCAAAGAAATATCAAGAGCTGCAACATCAGTGATTCACACCTTCTCCCCCCCCTCCCCCTGCACACTTTTAGGTTAAGCCTGGGAGGGGTGGGGTGGGGGTGAGGAGTCTCCATCTTTCCCTCTGGGGTGGGCAGCTCTCCACCACTTTATTTAGCATTGGCCACTGGGTTGACCCAGCCCCATTTTCTGTTCCACCTGTCTTTCGGAGGAACATAGGAAAAGGGAGCTCACATCCCATCCGCTTCCTCGTTATGGCTGCCTCGAACTAGCTGCCTGTTCATTTGTTAGCTTCTCGATAGCTTTTTTCATTCTGAATATTGTCGCAGAAAACACATGGTTCAGCCTTCTTGATTTCGCATTTGTGACAAAGCACTCTCACCAAGAAACTTTCCGGCCACTTTCTTCACAGGTTTTGTCCTCTGGATTTAGAATGGTTGGCGTGACTTCTAGTCCGGGGTTTACAGTAATGACTGGTCGTGCCCTTTTAAGGAAAAGTAGACAGGGATCAAAAAAGAGGCACCTGTCAGAAAGAACCATACCTTCTTCTCTACCAGTGATAGGTGACCTTTTGATCACTGGACGTGTAGACTTACACCTGCCTATATCCATGGTTGGGTTCCAGCTGACAGAGGTTATTTAGACTGTGTTATTCTTAAGCAGCTACATCCACCTCATTGCCTTACTTGGTGCAAACACTCTCTTTTGTAAACACATCTGTTCTTTCCCAGGATTCTCACTCTCAAAGCTTACTTTCAAAACTGACCCAGGCTTTGGTCAGGATGCCCAGTATGACGGCTCATGTTACGCTTCTTGTTGCTGGGCACACTACTTATTTGGAGGACTAGGAGCAAGACTTAAAGAGATAACATCACCTGCCAACAGTTTTTTGGCTACAACAACACTGGTGTGCTGTGGGAGTGTGTGCAAAGGAAAACAGAAACCTTAACCTGGAACTTCTGATAGGATCCAGGGAAAGACCCTGATAGACTCATTCTCACTTGTCCTGCAATATTATTTCTGAATACTGTATATTTACATATTTAAACATCACGGACCTTCGTCCCAACATTCGCCCTTACCTGTACAAAGCAACTTTGTCAACGCCAAAAGCTCCTACAATCAAATCTGAAAACAGAATTAAATAATACAGGTTTCACATTTGATACCTGATGTTTATAAATCTGATCAACAACATGTCCCTAGAACATGGAATTACAATAAGATGCCTTTGCTATCATAACAAAGGGAACCAAATATAACCTTGGATACAAAAGTTTAAAATGGGGGATACACAGGCAATTCACATCTGATCAATCTGACTTCTCCCACTCTGGCTGCCTTGCATTAGCTGCCCATTCATTTCCGCATTGTTTTCAAAGTGTTAATGATTTTATATAAAGCCCTAAATGGTTTAGGACCTCGATACTTGGTGGAACGCCTTTTCCCACCTAGATCTACTCATATCACTCGTTTTAGCCAGGAGGGGCAGTTGAGGAGCCTAACACCGAGGGAGGTCCGGAAAGAAAAAACAAGAAACCGGGCCTTCTGGGCAGTGGCCCCCCCATTTGTGGAATAATCTCCCCTCCAAGATCCGCTTGGCCCCTTCATTGGGTATTTTCAAAAGGCAACTCAAAACCTGGCTATTTAGGCAGGCCTTCCCTCTGGGCACCACCTGATTTATCTCTTATCTCCCATCTTGAATGATATGCTTATTGCTGTGAAATTGTTGTGGATATTTTTGTTTTTTTATTCTGTTTTTTTGTGAGTTGCCCAGAGTAGACACAGTCTAGATGGGTGGGATGCAAGTTTAATAAACAAACAAACAAATAAATAAATCTGCTTTATTGGACACGTTTACCAGAGGATGCACTCAAAATATTTAGAAACCCTATTTTTTCTGATTCTTGCAGATGGAGTAGGAAATTCCCACTCTTTGTCTTCTGCCTTTTTCCAAACACACATTAAAAGTACAGTAAATACAAAATAGAAAGGAATGCTCCCCTAAGTCTCCTGGAATCGCCTTTGTTTTTTAAATCTACTTTTGTGCAATTATATAATTGCAATGTCTGAAATCCAGTAGCAATTTGCAGCAAAAATAGGGCCATTGAATCAGTAGGGATCTGGTGAGTTGACTTCTCCAACTTCTTCAGTTATTTCAATGGGCCTTCTCTCATTGCAACTTACGGTGCCAAGCAACAGGTTTTCGGCCTTTACACTTTATTTTTCATTTTAAACACTGTATATTTAACACTGGAAACGTTATTGTGCATTTTTATTTCCCTCATTTTTCCCCAGGGGGATGGGGAAGTCTACAAAAGCTGTAATGGACGTTTTGGAATCTGAAATTCTAGACCAAACTCAACAAGAGCAAAAACCCAAGAGATACTGTCAATTATAAATACAAAAACAAACTGAAATCAAGAGATCTTCTGATCCTTAGTAAAGACCCAAACTCAAGCTCGGATCACACATTAAGGAAAACGTGTACTTCATTCATTCTCTTCCTCTTTACGGTGAACCATACCTCATGAGGAGCTCTCACTAGACTATATAGCTCACATGCTCTCTTTATAAAGACACAGTTCTGCTTGTACTGCCATTACTGCAATATCACCTGGATAGCCATTTTTGTCCACATCAGTAGCTCCTTTCAGTGAGTATCCAAAGCTGGGTGGCATTGTCGCAGAGGTCCACTGCCCTTCAAGGACTTGGGACGGCACTCCATTCAAACCTGTAGCTCTTCCATTGTAGATGTAGACCAGCCCTTTCTTGTCTTCTCCACCATATGGAGCTGCTACTGCAACATCTACAAACCAAAGAGAAACATTTCAAACTTTTCAAAAAAGAGATACACATTTACTTAAATGCAAACAAACGTAGGTGTGGACACGGAACACATTCCACTGACAAAATGCTTAGTCCAAGCCTTCCTTTCCCAATCCATTTCACTTACAGGCAGGCTTCACATCCCATGGATTCTGAAAGGTTAATAACAATGCTGACAACTGGGATAGACTCAGATAAGAGATACAATTTTAAAGTCAGCAAGAGTTTGAGTTTCCTCAATAAGCTTTAGGAAGACAGGGAGGGACTGGGTTGAAAAAGACACACACACACACACACACACACACACACACACACACACAGAGAGAGAGAGAGAGAGAGAGAGAGAGAGAGAGAGAGTATTTTGTGCTCTATAAGATGCACTTCCCCCCCCAAAAAAGTGGGGGGGGGAAGTGTCTGCGTCTTATGGAGCGAATACTGTAAAAGAGCGCTCCCCAGGGCCCAGCAGGGGGGGGGATGGTGGGGGGAGCCTTGGAAGGGTCCGAGAATGCCTTCCAGGACCTTTCGGAGGCTCCCCCCGTGGAGCCAGCGGGCCGAAATTGCCAGAATATTTTTTCCCATTTTACTCCCCTAAAAATGAGGTGCATCTTATGGAGAGGTGCATCTTATGGAGCGAACAATACAGTAATATACAATGGAAATTGTTCTTTTTTTAACATAAGGGGCTTCAACAGGAATTCTCTACAGTACAGAGGGGACATTGTTAAATAGAAACAGTACCTGTATGGCCCAATCCAATAACTCATTCCTATTTGTCATCAAAAAGCCTTGCTACCCAAAGTTATAAGCATGCGTTAGCTTTTCCAAAGGAGTGAGGTAGCTAACAGCTTTAAGAAGAAGTTGCAGCAAATATGATTAGAATAACTATTTTGCTAGATGAGATCCACTAATCTAGTATTCCTGTTGTTTGCAGGTATGTGAGCCAGACATGCAAGTTGTGGTATAACCAAGAAATAACTTTAAAGGGGCTTGAAATTCCCTACACCCCTGGCAGGCTAAAGTGTTGGAAATGGTAATGGCATAACACTTTACCATTGAAGCCATCCTGGTCAAGGTCTCCCAAAGGTGCGATGGAGCTGCTGAATCTTGCAAAAATCTCAAAGCCATTCAGCTTCATGGCCTGACTCTGAAGGCCTCCAGCAGCTTGCTGAAGATAAATGGACACCTGACCTACTTCTAGGAGTTTGCCATCTGAACCACGGTCCATGAAAAGTGGAGCTCCAATCAGCAGATCTGCATAGCTGAAGGGGAGAACGAGGGGAGGGGGGGAAGAGAGAGAGAGAAAGAGAGATGAAGAGTCCTTCAGCCACCCTTGTCCTATTTTTCCCGTGAGCTCAAGACAGCCTATATGGCTCACCTCTTCATCCTCACAACAACCTTGTGGACCTGCCTGAGAGTTGCTTATGGACACCCAGTAAATTTTGCAGTTCAGCATGTGGCCCTTTATATCCCAGGAAATACGAGATGCAAGCCATTTCCAGAACCACACACTGGCATGGCTAGCCCAGTTTTCCACTGCTTTTCTCTGCAGTAGGACCCAGAAAGTGATGATGAAGACAGCTTCTCAGCACCTTGGGACTTATGGTGGAGAGATTCACAAGCCACGCTCTTACCATCAGTCCTCTTAAACTGGTACATAACAGAACTGTCAGAGATCATCCATAACTCCACAGTTATATATATTGATGGCACATAGCTGTATCTCTTGCTAAATAAGCAACCAGGAGCAGCCATGGAAGTACTGACTCACTGTCTGGAAGCTGTGACCAGATGGCAGAAGGCTAGCAATCTCATGCTTCATCCAGACAAGATGGAGGTGATGCTGGTGTCTTGGCAACTGACAAACCCTTCTGTCAACTCCCACACGGCTAATGGAGAAAGAAAATTTTCCTTATCAGCCGAGTAAGGAGCTTTGGTGTTTTTATAGATCCAAGGCACCCTCCGGAAGAGATCAGTGGGCACGGAGGCCAAGTCAGCTTGTTCCTGATCTGAAAATGTTCTCCTTACCTGGAGAAAGCAGATATGACTGCACAGATTTATGCTAGCATAAGAGTGTGATTAGATGACTGTAATTCATTCTGTGTTGAATGAGGTCCTTGGGGAACACTCAGAAGTTTCAAACAATGCAGCACACAATAGGCTGCTAACTGTCTCAATCTTAACGTCTTGGATTCTGTCTCAATCTCAGCATCTATTTTGGACCAGTTAAATTAGCTGCCATTGGTTTCCCAGGTTCAATTCAATGTGTTGGCTATTACCTTTAAGGACGATCAAGGACTAGAGACCAAGTCCTCTAAGGAAAGACTGCCAGATCTGGGCATGTTCAGCCTTCAGAAAAGAAGACTGAGGGGAGGAGTGATAGCACTCTTCAAATACTTGAATACTATCACACAGAGGAAAGGCAGGATCCGTTTTCAATCATCCCACGGTGAGGTTCACATAGTAATAAGCTCAAGTGACAGGAAACCAGACTTTGAATGAATATTCCTAACCATTAGCGTGACAATCAAACAAGCCATCTCACCTTCCACTGAATTCACAACAATGCTGTGGAAGATTTCATGGGGTAAGTCATCAATGCATTAAAGGTTTAGAGATTTATCTCATGCACTTCAAATAAAGGATTGTGAAAAGAGAGGGCAGTCTAGGTGGCTGCTCCTAGGCTTTGGAATAAACTGCCCCAAGAAGCCAAGCTGTCCCGCCTCCCTCTTGTCCTTTTGCTGTCAGGCAAAGAACTTCCGCTTCAAGCAGGGCTTTTAAGCAATAAGTGAGGGGAACACTCAGTTTATGAAATGTAGATAATTTTATATGTTTTTATAACTGCTTTTAATCTTGATAAATGTCTTAATATCTTTTAATATAGTTTTGCATAGTTTTTAAAACTTGTTATTATTCTACCGTTTAATTGCTGTGACCTGCCTAGGGCTCCCTAGGGGAAGAAAGGCAGCATCTAAATAATGTAAAAATATAAATAAATAAAAAGTCTGGCAAAACAATAAATAAAAAGCGAGGGACGTGGTGGCGCTGTGGGTTAAACCACAGAAGCCTCTGTGCTACAAGGTCAGAAGACCAGCAGTCGTAAGATCGAATCCATGTGACAGAGTGAGCTCCCGTCGCTTGTCCCAGCTCCTGCCAACCTAGCAGTTCGAAAGCATGTAAATGCAAGTAAATAGGTACCACCTCGGTGGGAAGGTAACATTGTTCCGCGTCTAAATTGCGCTGGCCACGTGACCACAGAAACTATCTTCGGACAAACGCTTGCTCTATGGCTTGGAGATGAGCATCACCCCCTAGAGTCAGACACAACTGGACTAAATGTCAAAGGGAACCTTTACCTTATAAATAAATGCTAAATAAGGGATCCCAACAGAACAAGCCAATAAAATGAAATAACGCCACTAAACATGGATATTATGGGTTTTTATTATGGGTTTTATGCTATTTCTAATCTTAAACAAACCTTTAAACACTTACCCATCCCCATTGATATCTGTGACAGCCACAGAATATCCAAAATAAGCAGCCATCTGGAAGACAAATAAAAACGGCAATAATGTTGCATTAAAAATTTTTAAAAATAAGGCATCACAGCCATTTTTGACCACTAAAAACTCCCTTTCCATGCATACTTTAAAAGCTACTGCCAAATAGAAGTAAAAGTGAAGGGAATCCAGTCTCTTTTATTCTCCATTACTCTGGTTCAAAGCAGGCGTAACACATGGATGTTGTTGGATTATAACTCCCACCAGACCTCACAAGCACAGCCAGTGGTAAGGTGCGAACATTTAGAGAGCCACATGGTCCCCATCGCTGGTCCAATGAACATCAATTTGCATTCTCCAGTGACATCTCCAACAAGTCACAGGAATTCCAGTCCTAGGAGTTAATTCTAAGGTAGGGAAGGAGGTAAGGAATATTCACAAACACTATGGCAACCGCCCTCAGTTAAAATGAGAGTGTGGCAGCAGAAATAATTCACAGCCATTTCATTTGGCTGCTTTAGAATCAGAACTTGGTGAAGTAAAGACAAGACTTTGAAAATTGGAAAAGGTGTCATGTAGAAGAGGAAGCTGAGCTTGCTTGTGAGACAAAATTAGAATAATTGGCTTGAAATCTTGATGAAGCCGATTTCCGAATGTTATCCAGAGGAACATACTGCCCTGGGATGGTGGATTTTCCTTCCCTGGGCACTTCTAATTCAAGGTTGGACAGCCATCTGTCAGAGATGCTGTAGATCTTGCACTGCAAAGCCTGCACTAGGCAGAACTGGTTTAGATCAAACAGAGGCCCTTCATATATTGTGGACTTGAATTCCCAGAACACACAACTAGAAGCATTAGGGGTAAGGGATTGTGGAAGTGGTAGTCCACAATGATCTGGAGGCCCAAAGCTCCCCAGCACTGAAGAAAATGATACCTTGACCTCTTGTGATTTAGAAAATTGAGACAAGGAAGTCCCATCCATGGAGCTGATTTTGCTGAGTGGCTATCTAGCCCTCTTCTCAGAATGGCCTTCATCAACAGTCATTTTACTCCACTGCATCTGAGGGATCCATGAGATGGCAGGGTCTCCTCTACCAGCTCAGAGAGGACAATCTGCCATCAAGCACCCTCCTTCCCCTGAGGTGCCTAATGCACTCATTATAATGCATGAATTCGATTATTTCCTGCTTGCTGGATAGCTCAGTGAGTTAAGTATTTGGCTGTGGAGCCAGAGGTTGGGAGTTCACTTCCCCACTGTGCCACTCGCAAGTAAAGCCACCCTGTGTGGCCTTGGGCAAGCTGTACAGCCCCAGGGCACCTCCAGAGGAAGGGAATGGGAAACCACTTCTGTGTTAACAGCACACCGTTATTATAGATAGCTTAGGGAACTGAAGTGCAAAACATGCTTTTGGATTCTAAAAAGAGAACAAAATCCATCAACCCTGTTCCCCCCTCCCCCCAAAAAAACCTTTAAAAATCTACTCAAAACTTTTTAAAATCTTTAGTTTACCTTATCTGTCTTGTGTTTTATACTTCACTGGCCAAAGACAAACATGTACGTATATCAAAACACTACCCTCTTGTACAAGAGAAAAACATATCTTGGGTCCCCTTATCAGGAGAAAGGCAGCATATAAATAAAACAAACAAATAAATAAATACCTGCTCGCCGGTAAAGTTATACATGGATGCCATAGTTTTCCCATTATAAATGGATACCTGAAGAAGAGGTATCAATAAAAAAATCTGTGTTATGGTGTATTTCAATGGCTGGTGGAACAAAGATCTACCACTGAAGAAAGAAGGCATAAGTTTCCTACCATGCCCAAAGTCCGTGCTGCTCTTGGCACGCCAGACACAAAATCTGAAAATAAACCAGAAAAAGTAGCTTCCTTTGACTTGTGCAAACAGGAACCAAGGCTCTTCAAAAACCCTCTCCACATCTCCCTTTTAAAAACAAGTAATATAACATAACATATAACACAATATCACATCACAGAGGCAAGCATCTGTTTACTTCCTCTTCTTTCCCTCCCTTCCTTCAACACCAGACTGCAGGAGCCTGGATGGGGTCTTTCGGAGTGGGGGGGATGGTCAGTTTCACCCCCAGAGTCTGTTCTGTTGGGACAACAGGGGTTACAACCCTACGGCCAGAGTCCTGCTACAAAGCTCCAATGATTCAGTGGGAGTGATGTCACTGCCCGACTGCTGCTAATTAAAGAGTTCCTGCTTTGATTTTCAGTTGTGCATGACTCATGTGCAATGAGACAAAAGTGGCACCCCCTGAACTCAAAACAAGAGCTCTTTAACTAGTGGCAGTCTGTGACTTCTACTAAGCTACACAACAGGACTTTAGCCAGGAGATTAAAAATGGAAGCAAAGTACAAGATTGCAGTTTGGGGACACTTGATTATTCAGCTTTTCAAATCTACTAGCTGCTAACTTTAAAAAACAATGTAGACCTTAAAACATTACACAAATACAAAGAAGCCATACCTTCTATTCCATCACCACTGAAGTCTCCCACAGCGACTGAATAACCTGTCAAAATGAAGAGAAACCAAGAGTCAAGAGGACACGCAAACACCTATAATGGTAAATAAGCACAAGATCAGATTGTTTAGCATCGGTCTAAGTCTATCCACCTGTCTGCTTGTAATTAACCCACTCAGATTAGCTCTCCTCCTGAATGATGCTACTGGAAGGATTGCCATCTCACTGTGTGAGATGGAAAAGGAAGCAGGATCCTCTTCTGCTTGGTTAGACTTTTCTAGCTAACACATTTTAGACACAGCAATGAAAAAGTGTCACCATAAAAAATGCCAGTTACTTTATGCTTTCTTTGCCCAAATAAACGAACATACACATTCCTGACATGTGTCTATATTTAAGAATCAGCAGGTGCATACACAACACTAATAGATACAGAAAACATGGCCTTTCAGACATTTTGTTGTAGGCTGTTGCAATGTGTTTGGCTGCACTGATTAACGCCGGGTTTCACCCAACCCCCCAACTCATCAGGAGCATGATGGTCCCAAATGGCCCACAATATCTCCCTCCATTCCATCATACTCATCAGGATTTGGCAGAAGCATATCAAGGCAGTAAGAACAAGTTCATAGGTTGAATTCTGACACACACAAAAAGAGCTCTTTTGCTTTCAAGACACTCACCCAAGTAACTGTCGTCGAAAGCAGCGCTGGCCGACCGTGTTGCTAACTGGTTGTCGTACTTGGTAGTATAGACTCTTGCATTGTATTTTGACACAATCTCAGCCACTTGATCAGAAATTAGCTGACCTGGACAAACACAGAGGAACTGTGACGTAAACACAGCAGAGGCAGAAATAAAAGCAAACAAACAAGAATATAGGGTAGTGAAAGATTTGCACTGCAGTTGAGTTTCTGCAGATTATAAACCATGGATTTGTAATCCACAATTACTCCTATTGATAGTTATACCTGCAGAAGGCGGCTTGTCACTGGTAATTACTGTACTAAGTTCCTGCTTGGATTTTCTGTGAGTTTGCATGTGCCCAACATTTCTTCTGGAGGCCCTTATTGGCAAATGAGAAGCTGCTGTGAGTTGTGCTGTTTGTCTTCTGCAGGTGCAACAATGCATTAGTACTTTGGCCCCATCCTCAGAGGCATGGAGCATAATCATTAGCCACAGGTACTACCCATACAAATATGTATCTTAATCATTATATTATGTATGTCTAGACTATAACCAATGAAAACTCACAATGAAATACCCCAGTCTTGAAGGTGCCACAATACTTTTGTTTTTCTTTTTGTTACACATGCTATTGAACATGTATAAAATAAACTTTAAAATAACCTCATTTCTCACAGTTAAAAAGAGAGAGGGTGAAAGGAAAGTGTCAATTTCTAAGACTAGCCATCTTAAGTCTGTTGCAGAAAACCAATAGCGTCTTATGGCATATTAAATAACAACATATTCATTGTAGCACAAGCATTCAAAGGTAACAGCCTAATTCATAAGGTGCTCGAAAGATTGTTGTCTACCATATTTAATGTTGTTTGTTCTGGTGCTTATAATTTAATTTTAATTGTTTTGGTCTACTTTTTTTAAAAAAAGAATGAGATTCTCCTTCATATACTGTGATACATGAACTGAAACCTTCATCATCATCAGCTACGTAGTTTGTCAACTGAATCACAACAGTCCCTCTCCAAATAAGCTTTAAAAATAGCCACTTTGGAAGTTTCAGCAGAAAGGTAATCAGGGTGGACATTCACCCTTTCAAATACCAACCCCTCCCAATCCTTTACCCATATCTGCTTTTGATCCCTGAAGCATTCCAAATGTATAGCAGCACCCCACTTAATTTTTAAAATAAATTTTATTTATTTTTTTTAATGACAAGTATACATAGTACTACACACACGAAAAATCACAGCCTTGATTGGTACCCTACATTTTCCCCTCACAAAGTAAATTTATCAGGAAAAAGGATACTCAGGGTTTAGTTGTGCATTTTATGGGTAACACAGCATTAGTCCCTAGAAAACATGACTGTTTCGATAGCCACTGTTTTTGCAGCAAAATGCCTTGACTTACCTTGCCAATAGAAGCTTCCCGGTCCTCCCAAAAGTACTCTGTCTCCCTGTGGGAAAGAAATAACTAAGTTTTTTTGTTGTAGAATATAAGCAAACATACATTCCAACAAGTAAGGGAATGAAGTATTCCAATGTGCTGCCGTCTAAGCTTCAAGTTCCCTCTTTGTGTTAGAACCATCAGAGTCTGAGCAGAAGACATTGCCTGCATATAATCCGATTTTTTGTGTATGGAAATTCCAGGTTAGCGATATTTTGCAGATAGGTAAAACACTTATTCAGTAGATTACAAGCTACCTAAAATGATTACATATTATATTAATTATCTTTACATGTTGTTGCTTAACTTAGGTTTACTTGTGAGTTTTCAAAGGTTACACTTGGTTAATACATGATCTGTGAGCAACCTGGATTTTGTCTGTAAGAAAAGCTGGGATAAATGCACAGATATTTATGTGTGAACAAATAGGGGGTGTGAGAACATGCAAGTACATGTAGGCATGAAACATAAGGCCCAAGCTGTTATGAACCAAGAAGTCCATTTTGCATCCCTCAGTGTGTGGCAGGTTTAAGCTATGGTTTCTTGAAGCAAGCCAACATCAAATTGTGGTTTATGATACCTGCTCAATAAACCAGACGCTGAACAGGTCACAGTTCCTACAGTAGATAACTACAATAAACTTAGGTTCAGTCGTGATAGGACAAAGCCTCACACACTGCCGGTCTTGTTCGGTGTCTTCCTGTCATGCACGAGATGCTTTTTAAATACAGCATTTTCAAATTATTGTTTTAGATTAAATAGGCCCGTTAACAACACAAAACAAAATACATATATTTAACAGTTGTTTTTTAAAAAAATTGTATCCAGATTAGCAAAGTTGGAAAGAGGACATGTTATTTTTATTAACTCCTTTTCTACCCCTTTTTTCTCACATGGTCTTTGAAATTCTGAACTAAGGAAGTCACTTCCATCTGTTGGTGAGGCCGAGAAGTATAGATTGAAGAGACCAGGCTTGTCATGATAATGACTCCTGTTACGGTAGCTTGGAAGCCACCTGTCCGTCATTGCTGTAGAGGCATGTCATCTGCCAATAGCGTGATGGAAGGTGGGACATAAGGGGTGGAGCCAGTGTATATAAGGGGAGTGAATGGGGGTGAGTGCTTTAGATAGGGACCGGTTAGGGTATTAGGGTTTGTTCCTATTGTGAAGAACTGTGCTATATAGTGAGGGTCTGTGAGAGAGTGTGTGAGTGAGTGATACTTTATTACATTGATTGCCTTATTATTTGAGTTATTAAAGTGATTTACCATTCCTTTTGTTATAACCAATAAACACAAGTTTTTATTTTTAAAATCATTTATTAGTCCGAAGAGTCATTTGAGGGAATGGTTGGTGGCAGCGTGAATAGAGTGAGTGTGAGAGAGTGACGTGGCACCTCCGTTGTGACGTGTGAGGAGGCTGTCACAACTCCCTTGTTAAATTGCTGAGAAATACTGTACTGTAGACATGCACCTATCGAAGTGGTTACTTCAGACTCTTCTCGCTTTTTTTTTTTTTGTCAAGCACAGAGAAAGGAAGACAAACAACGATAACTTCCATACCTGGGCAAAATCAATGCTGAATCCCCCCTGGCAGAAGCCCTGCCCTTCGGCATCAATGTTGGCTGCGGGAACAAGAAGAAAAGGAAACAACGGATTCGTCAGGATGTGTGACGGATGGAACAATAAAAAATGAAGCCCTTTCTGCGAATGGTGGGGAGGCCGTCAACACTATGCGCATGGATAGCAAAGAGGGGGCTGGTTTTATATGTGGTGCAGCTGAACAGATAAATACCTGGGCAGATTTTATTCTTCTGTGCTGGGGCTGCCTTAAAAGTCATGTGGGGGGAAAGTGTAAAATAAGCCTGCAAGGTGCTTAAGAGTCAGGGATCAGCCTGTAACTCTTGCACCAGATTCTGAAATATCTCTGGACAGTGTCCTCTCTGATTTACCATGTGGGGAAAGGCAACGGCACAAGTAGATTCCTCCGTTTTCCAGAATGTCTGCCACCTAAGCGGGTGAACCACTGTGTGCAGTGTATCAAAGAGGACACTGGGCTCTGTTTCATAAAAACATGATTGTTCCAAGAGAAGGAGAGGTAAAATTCCAGTTTTAATGGCAGAGAATACACCTTCATTCTGGCACAACAATACCAAAAGCCATGCAGGTTCTAGATGCCTCAGCAATTTTCTCCAGACAGCAACACCTTCAGCTATGTGCCCCAGAGCTGCCCTAATTTAAACAGGATGCAGTTTTCCACACTTTTTACTAATTAAATTAAATCTCCATTCCATTTTCCCAATGTCACTACAAAAAAGAAACAGCCTGCCATTCAATCTGTCCTTCAATCTGTTTAAGAAACTGTCCTAGTTTCTTAAACAAAGGGACTCTTTTTTAAATAATAAAAAAGCACCTTTATCAATATGACGGAGTTACATTTTTCAGCTATGTAAATCTCTATTTGCAGAATAAAGTTTTATCACCTCACTTGCTGGTTGTGAGCACAAGGCATAACCCCATGGCTGTGCTACAGGACCTTGTGCTTACTGTGGCTATGCTTGACAACTGCCCTGTTGCTGACATAGCAGTTAGGCTTTAACAATAAGCATTGTGTTTATTAATGCATAAGTTTCCAAACTAATATCTTCTTAGATTTTAACTCCCAGAAGTCCCAGTCAGCACAGACCATGGTCAGGGTTTTGACGGGGCTGGGTGGGTTGAGTCCAACACAATATAGAGATTCCAGATGGAAACGTACTGTTTTAAACCATCTACCCTTCTTCTGCTTCCCAGTCAAAATGGCAACCAAAGTGGCCTTTAGTTAATCAACAGAAGACTGGTTTTGCCTGAAAGCTTATAATCTAAAAACAGACAAAAAGGAAGGAAGGAAGGAAGGAAGGAAGGAAGGAAGGAAGGAAGGAAGGTAGGAAGGAAG